TTATGGGTGTCGATGGCGTGTTGCGAAAATGGGACGAGCGTGTTGTTGTGGAGTTGTGGAGTTCTGGAATGCCGAGAAAGAGGGCGCTCAGGTCCGACGCGGAAGGTGCGAGCACAGCCACCGCCACACAATGACGTGCGTGTCCAGCAACCCAGTCACAAGAACAAGCAGAGCAATCCATGGATCGGACTTCCAAGCGCTTCTAACACATCACATGCTGTGGCGCAGCTTCAAATAGGCATCGTCACTTTTGTTAATTCCTACCTTGTCCCTGTATGCGTAATCTTTCACTCCATCCAGGCAGCAACATTCCGCATAGCTCAGGCCACTAGAGCACGACAGCGCTTCAACTACCTTCACATCTACGGCCAAAGTCTTCATCTCCCGTCACGTATGATCCTTTGATTACCTTCCAAGATTGTGACCTCTACGCGTCTCGCCACCCACAATCATCATCCACCATGGACATCCCACGCGGCCACGCAGCAATGCCGCTCACAGAAGCCGACTTCCTAGACTTCGTCTACAACTACTTCAAAGCCGAGTACTACCCCATTCGCTCATTTTGGTCTACAGCAACTGCCTTCCCAAGACAAACCGAACGATGGATTTCCATGGGCCATGAACTCTCACCGCTTGTCGTCCGGCCCGCAAACGCGCAGGCGCAGAAAGATCTGGAATCTCTAGACTACTTTACAAGAAAATGGAACCTCGATGCCGGATTCGTAAGAGGCTTGGTTATTCGATTCGCAAAGTACGAGTTGCACGAAAGACTGGAGAAGAGACTATATGAATGCGCGAGATTAGACTTGATGGTGAGGAAGGCGCTGAAAGAGAAGCATTTGATCGACGCACTTTGGCCAAGTCCTGCACCGCGGAATATCGCGAAAGATCTGTTGCAGCAGGGTGTTCAGGCACGCCAATGGTACGGCGACATGTTCAACAAGTACTTCCGCGTTCTACAGTCTATCGACTCGTTCCAACTCCGTCCGGAAATTGATCACCACATCAAGAACAGTGGGAGGTTAATGTTGATTCCCTTTGTGGACCATCTCATCTTTGGAGCGGTTGACCCTATTATACCAATCGTGGCGAAAGGAGCAGGTTATGCAAATGCGAAAGGGAGAGGAAACGACAGAAATACGCCAGGCTTCGGTGAGCCAGGAAAGTTCGAGATCCGGTTCGATGCACCGACCGAGGTCACAGATACGTATACGAAGAGCGTTGTACGGCAGTGTCAGTGTATGAAGTGTGGTACGAAGCGAGACGTACAGGTAGTGATATCAGTGGACCCGAATCCAAACGCTGGAGCGAGCGCAGGCACATCGTCTACCAGCCGACAACGGGACACAGCGCCAGCAAATTCAAGAACGGCGCAGAGATACAGTCCAGGCTACCAAATGCCAACCCAGAACGAGCCAGCACCTCCACGCCAACCTCCCCGACCACAGGCACAACCACCCCAGGAACTCGCCCCATCCCACCGTCCTTCGACACCCGACCTCAAAAAGCAATGCCCACGCTGCACCTTCCTCAACGATCCCGCCTTGACAGCCTGCGAAATGTGCGAAGCCTCCTTGCCAGAAGCCACAATTGCGAAACCGCCCAGTCCAGTGTCCAACAGAAAGGCTCCTTCGCACTCACACTCCGCATCGCATCCGCCACCCAACGTACCCCGAACCAGGGAAGAAGCACTGCGACAAGAACAAAGACCCAGCGGACCGAATAGACACAGTCTGAGTCAAAGCCTCTTTTCCATCTTCCCATTCTCGCAGCAACAGCAGCAGGAGCATCATGCCAAGTTGCCGCCTACACAACAAGTCGATACTTCTCCTGCTGTCAAGACGACACCGAGGCAGGAGATGAGGAAAACAGAAGACCCCCGACCTTCTTCAAAAGAAGGCAACAAACCCCACATCTCTCATTCTCCACATCCACCTCCCCAAGCCGAACCGTCCTCTTCCCGTCACGCTGCAACCACGCCCCCAAACCGCCCTTCCACACCACCACTATCCAACCACCCAGAAATGGCAATGATGCCCCTCTCCCCCTCCCCACCCTCATCCTCGCATCCGCGCCCCGCACCCGCCGGTCTCCCGAGTAACCTCATGGACGACTTCGTCCCTGTGTCCCCTGCTTTTCCGCAAGACGACGAGGATGAAGATGCGGGGTGGGGGTCTATGAGCAGGGAAGAGGCAAGGGGGCAGGAGAGTAGTAGTGAGGAAGAAGGTGACGACGAAGGAGGAAGTGGCGGGGGGAAGGGGATGATTGATTTGGATGCTGTGGCGAGGGAGGAGGCTGATGTTTGGGGGGATAGGGAGGATTGATTGGTTGGATATGCGGAGGGGTGGATGGGGATATTGGTGTTTGTGTTGGATTTGGACATGTTTGCTCACTTCATTGTTTAGATGCTCATGTCTGGCGTTCAGTTACACATTAGATAATGCTAGGAATGAGATTACGAGGTTGAATTGAAGGGACTCTTAGTTGCGTTTGTCTATACTCCCAAACACCCATTCCCAAGCCCACGTCTCCAGCGCAATAGAAATGTACGGCCAACTCCACGCTTCATGGTCTTTCATCTGCCCGCTCCATGCAATGCACCAAGCGCCCACACCTGTTGTTCGACATCTGCGACAAGCTTTGCACATGGTGATGCGCCCTGCTCTCCGTATACCGGATCGTTATGTTCAGTACACGGCCGCACGCCCATCGTATTCGGCCCTAACATCATCCACAAAGTCATCCTACGAGTTGAGGTAGTTCCGGACAGCGCCTTGCAGTTTCGTCGCACCCTCGCCGAGCATGTTCGTTAGGTTCTCGAGATCGTCGCCAGCGGTAAGACCGAACTTGCGGACAAAGTCCTTGGCGGCGGTTTCGAGGTCGCCGTAGTCTTCGTCGCCGACTTCGTCTTCAGGTCGGCCAAAGTATGCGTTGGAGGAAATAGCGCTCGCGCCTTCGAAGCCTACATAGCAAGTTAGATAGTTGGACGCAAATGCTTTCACGTATGCTGCATACCTGATAATCTCTCCTTGGCCTGCGCGGTGGCAGTAGGATCGAATGCGTTGCGTCCAAAGAACTCGTCACTTGAGATGCCCTTTTGTGTGCCAAACTTGTCTCGCGCGTACTTCTCGCCGTCATCCTGCGCAGGCTTGCCTACACTGCCGAAGCCACCCATCTTCTTCTGCGGTGCAGCCTTCTTCGCTGCACCCACCTGTCCAAAGCCTAGACGTTGTACACCCATGCCTAACCTCTCCATATCCTGGCTAGAACGCTCGGTCTTGGAAGTGGAACCGAAACCGCCTCGTGGCGGTGATACGGGGGTCGGGGAGACAATGGCGGATGCTTCGGGGGCTTTCGACTTGGTGGCCGCTGCGGCCTCAGCGGCTTCGGCTTCGGGATCGTAGCCCAACTTCTCGATGCGCTCAGCCTCTTCACGGGCCTTTCGCTCTGCTTCCTCAAAGTCTAGGCCTCCATCTGCGGCAACCACCTTCTTTGCTCCAAGGCCCTTCTTCTTGGCTCCCAGAATGTTCTTCTTCGGCGCAGCGCCTGCGGTCGTCTTTCGTACGGCAGCGGGCTTTGCAGCGGGTGTGCTCGATTCACCACCAACTAGTGGCGACTTGGGGCGGTCTGTTCCATTGCCGTTGGCGCCAGGCTTCAGGAAGGGTGATCCTCCAATCTTGGGTGTACCGGTACGCGAGGGTGGGTTCGACGGGCGCTTGATGGCGGGCTTGTCCCATGAGGAGAAGAAGTCGTCTTCGTCGTTGGCTGGCGTGTTGGTGCCGTCGGTGCCAACTTCGGGTACATCTGTGATAACAACCTCGTTGGGGTACCTGGTAGGATCGGATTAGCCCAGCTTACCATGTAAGAGAATTGGTTCTTACATCTTGGCGTCCGCGGCGCAGCGCCTGGTCAGTTCCTCCTTGTACTTGGTGGCGGCATTGCTGGTGTATTTGGCCTTGTGGTCTTTACTCGCGAGCGCAGCAGAGCCTCCGTGCGACTGGAAGTACTTGGTGGCGCTTTCGTTGCCGCCCACTTTCATGATTCGTAATTGATCCCATTGCCAGACTACCCTCAATCAGTATGCGTATTGTAGAGCCATGACGGAGTAAACGTACTGTCGAGGTTGGTGGACCGTACGAAGGAGATGTGGACACCCATGTTACGATGGTTGGACGAGCAGTCGAGACACAGGTAGATGCCAAAGGGTACGGAACTCCATGTTGGGTTCTTTGCGCCGCAGTCGAAGCATATCTAGGGATGTGTTAGGCATTGACCGAGTATGTGTCTACTTGCAAGACGTACCTTGTTCGCGGGCTTCGACTTCAATTTGGTAAAGATGTTCTGCGACTCGGTCTTGGTGGCGAGGGCAGCCATGGTGGGAGTGGGTAGGAATGGTGCGGGTTGGCGGTAAAGGAGTCGAGCTGTGGTGGGGATAATTTGGGTTGCGGCGCTCGGGAATGCTAGGGTGTCGTTTCCAGGAAGCCGCGTTCTTGACACGTGATACGCGCGATTGCAGGTGCAGGTGGTACCTCGATGTCGCAACTTCAATTTCTACTTTCGCTTTCACCAAACGACTCTCGATTAATATTTTGCGCTCAATTCTGTCTTGCTTATATAGGTTTTCGTCTAAACCACATTCGTGGTTAAGAGACGCCCCCGAGGCCAGAACCATGGTTGCGACTCGGTGCTACGCGCACACTTCGCGCGCCTGAACTCGATCGCTACACTGTAGACACGACCCAGAGCTGTCGTTGGCGACTACAAAGACTTCACCATTCTTGCGCTAGTCTATGCTCGAAGGATGACATAGGCTTCGGACGCGGTCTTCCTATCTCCCTATCTTCCCGTCCCACGACCTGACGCGACAGCACAAGTGGGGTATGCATATACAAATGATGGCATACCTCACCTGCCCCCAAGTAGCAGCTTGGGTCTATTGCATACTCACATATCGACTTTCATAGACTACAGACTACAGCATCCCACAACTCCCCACCATGACCTCCCTCCAAACCGTCCCCGCCCGCCGCGGAGCAGCCACCCTCGTCAAAGCCGGGCAGAAGATAAAGATAACAAACACGTACGGAAACCAAGTTGTCGATACCTGGGCGCTCGCACTTCCTTCCTCCGGCCTTTCTACCGCGTCCTCCAAAGTCGAAGCAGCACTCTACCCAAACGCGACCGCAGACTCGCCGTCCAAGTACTCTGCTACTGCGAATGCCGCTGCCAGCGCCCCCGAATACATGTCCATGTGCCACTGCCGGGCAACGCTCTTGAAAGTGACGCCTGCAGTGGGTGATGTAATGGTCAGTCAGAAGAGGGCACCGATGGTCAAGCTGGTGGAAGATACAAGTCCAGGTGTACACGACACTTTGGTCGCGGCGTGTGATCGGTGGCGGTATAGTGAGCTGGGCGTGAATGGATACCATGAGTCTTGCACAGACAACTTCTGGGATGCTTTACACGCGCTGAGCTCATCTTCGTCTCTCTCGGCTGAGGAGAAGGAAGGGATTGAAGACCTGCAAGCGAAGATGGGGTGCAGAGTCCCGGATCCGTTCAATTTGTTTATGAACATTCCTATCACGCAGGAAGGTGAGGGAGCGCAGAGAGGCATTAGCTTCGAAGAGCCGAAGACGAAGGCAGGAGACTATGTGGTGCTCGAGGCACTTAGGGATGTAGTTGTGGTGATGAGTGCGTGTCCACAGGATGTTCTTACGATTAATGGGAAGAATCCGGTAGATGCTCATTACCAGGTTCTAGACTGAAGCTTCAAGATTGAGTGGGTAGTACGATAGAGATACCGATTTAATTGAATGAACCTGATATAGCATTACCTGAGTTCATCTCAGATACGAGAACAGCGAGTTCGGGCCGGCCGACTCCAAACTGACAAAGAACGTGAACAGTAAGCACCCTGCTATGAGTCCCGCTCGCCATATCCAGTGCACCACTTGCCCTCTCCTGGTCTGTTCTCTCTCCTCTCCGTTCTCTCTGGACAACCGTCTCCCTACACCAGGCCACTTACCGACCACTAAAGCTGCAAGATACCATGCTGCCAGGTGAATGAACGACGCCAGCGGTAAGATAGCTAGGATCCAGATAACGAAGAGCCTACTACGTAGGATGGAGGAGATGCCGAAGATGTCTGCTAAGCGCGTGAGAAAGAAAAGCGCGACGGTGCTGATCATGATGATCTGTGAGACCAGGAGGACCAGGTGATCGTGATACCAGTCGTGTGAGGCGAAGCTCTCGTAGGGGTATGTTGGAAGGTTGACAAGCCGATTACAGTTCTGAGGCACGAACGGGTCTGGGTCTACAGCGCTCGGATCCTCCATCTCTTGGGTCGCCGCCGTTCCAGGCGGGGAGGATGTGTCCTCATCCGTTCGCAGGGTCTCTTGAGCCTTTGCGTCGTCATCAAGGTACGCCTGGGCCATTGAGAGAAGTGGTAGTAGAAGCAGGATTAACGGTAAAGTCTGGCCAAACCCCCAGGAATTCTCCTCAGAAATTTTCTGGTTGAGAGTAAAGTTGTAGCCGTCATAGTTCCATGAGGCTGCGGCGCGTGTATCCCAGACTTTGATGGTTCCCCATGCCATTGCAAATGCCAACCAGAGGATCTCCAATAGCATTGACTCGAAGACATCGTAGGAGACCCGGACGGTTACGAAGCCAGCATATGAGAGTAGGTATGGTAGGTGCCAGACGTAGGCCTCAATCGTAGGAGGTAGTGTCTTCCTCTCCAGGAAGCTGAGGAACTGCTTGAACTTCGTTCCAGGTAAGGTCCGAAGGCATGTGCGGGACACATCTCCATCTCGGTCAAGTAGTTGTATACCACACCGAACAAAAGACACACCAACGATAACCACCGAGAAGATCATAGACCAGATCTTGGGACCTCGTCGCAAGAACGACCGCATACCAAGCTCTTTGTAGAAGCAAACAGCGCTCAAACTAGGATAGAACCCCTCACCATCATCAGGATACCCATTGAGCCACATCCTAGACCCCGTCGGAAGCAAAGCAGCAATCAACAAAGAAGCAAGGAGAACCATAAAGACCAGTCTGACAAGCCGCATATTTTTGTTGGTCTGAGAGCAGCCTTCGAGAAAGGCCGTAGCAGACACGAAAGCGAAACTGGCAAACCACGAAATGAAGACCATCATTTGCCAATGATATGCTGAGATACCACATCTCAACTGCGAGTAGCCGGCGACGAGGATCGCGGTGCCAGTGACTAGGTTCAGGTCGCTAAGGATGAGGACGGACTTTTCAACGGCGTACTGGAAGCGTCGGCTGGGGGTCCATGAGAAGATACGTGAGCGTATAAAAGTGAGGAATCGATGGTCGACTGCATTGACGCGGATGTTTGCTGTGCTCTTTGTTTGGTGGACGTTGTGGACAGTGATGTAGTGGATGATGAGTAGGAGTAATGTGAGGTATGCTGAGATCGAGAAACCCAAGATGACCTATCGTACCGGAGTTAGGCGAAGTGATAATAGATTAAGTCTTGATACTCACTCCGATGCCCGAAAGATCCGAATCTGGCAAGAGAGGTGGCACATTGGTGAGGTTTGTCAGATTAGTTGAAGAGAGCCACGCGCAGCTTGGTAACTGGCAGCGGGCGACAGCTTCTTTCACCGTGGTGTTCATCATGAATTCATCTGAACATGATCGAGATGGTAGAAACAGAAAGAGAAGCTGGACACTTCGACGCGGAAGGCATCGCTCGCGCCATCAGCCGCTCCAGATGTTACTGCCCTGGGAACAGGCCGGCGGTCAATACTAGTTGCGCCGAAGTATACATATGTTCATAGTTGTAAGTTACCATAAGGGCAGTGCTGTTATGTTGACTAGGCAAAAGTGCCGAGTCCTGCGGCTCGGACGTACTGTGTGATTTCGAGAACATAGTAGTGGAAATGTGGGCTACGGTGTTGTCAGGCGCGTGATGAATGGGTGCAACTGCCCGGACAAACGACGCTAGCATTGGATGCGGGACTAGCGCGGCGGCGAGGCGAACTATTTTCCCCACCGGTATCGATAGCGTCGTGAACTTTTTTGCCCTGAAGTCTCTCCAACGCGTAGACGGCTCTACTCGACATCAACATACCGCAATCGCCAGAATGAAGACCCAGTGGAAGGATATCCCCGCTGTGCCTACGAGCCAGGAGTTTCTGGACATCGTGCTTTCCAGGACCCAGAGGAGGTAGGTGCCTTCCTCGACACAATTGCGCAAAGCGCCTTCCCTCTACCACCCGGCGCTTTGCGACTTCGCAGGCGCAATGCATATCGCATAGAGGATGACAAAGCTGACTGCAACCCAGATTGCCGACACAGATTCGTGCTGGATTCAAGATCAGCAGAATTCGAGCCTTCTACACGCGAAAAGTCAAGTACACCTCCGAAACCTTTACCGAGCGCCTCTCCACCACCATCGAGGCTTTCCCGCGCCTTGCCGACATCCACCCGTTCCACCGCGATCTGCTCAACACCCTATACGATGCGGATCACTTCAGAATTGCGCTTGGTCAGCTTTCGACCGCAAAGTCGCTGATCGAGACGGTTGCGCGCGACTATGTCCGTCTTCTCAAGTACGGACAATCTCTCTTCCAGTGCAAGCAGCTGAAGAGGGCGGCGCTGGGTCGCATGGCCACCATCTGCAAGAGGTTAAAGGACCCTCTCGTCTACCTCGAGCAGGTCAGGCAGCATTTGGGTCGTCTTCCGTCCATTGACCCCAACACCCGCACACTCGTCATTTCCGGCTTTCCCAACGTCGGCAAGTCTTCATTCTTGAAGTCCATCTCAAGGGCCGATGTCGAGGTCCAGCCCTACGCCTTCACCACCAAGAGTCTGTATGTCGGACATTTCGACTACAAGATGCTCCGGTTCCAGGCCGTCGATACTCCCGGTATCCTGGACCACGCACTCGAGGACATGAACACTATCGAACATCAGTCGATCTGCGCTATTGCCCATCTCCGCGCCCACATTCTTTACTTCATGGATCTCAGCGAGCAGTGCGGTTACTCCGTTGCCTCGCAAATCGCTCTTTTCAACAACATCAAGCCTTTGTTCGCCAACAAGCTGATCTCCATCGTCATCAACAAGATCGATCTTATGCGCCCGAACCAGCTCGACCCCGAGACCCAGGAACAGCTACAGGGTATGCTCAAGTCCGGCGAAGTTGAGATGCTCGAGCTCTCTTGCAACACGACTGAGGGTGTCATGGCTGTGCGAAACTCAGTCTGCGATCGCTTGATCGCTGCCCGTAACGCTGAGAAGCTCAAGGCCGGTACCAACAGCGCCGGTGAGCCTTCTGGTCGTCTCGGTGAGCTGCTTCGCCGTATTCACGTTGCCCAGCCGTTGGGCGGCGTTACTCGCGAGACCTCCATCCCAGAGGCTGTACTCAACAAGAAGAAGTACGACAAGGAAGACCCTGACAGGCCGCTCCTGGAGCGTGATTTGGAAGAGGCAGACGGTGGCGCTGGTGTGTACAACATCGATCTTCGCAAGAACTACATGCTCGAGAACGACGAGTGGAAACACGACCGCATTCCTGAGGTCTTCAAGGGCCAGAACGTCTACGACTTCATCGACCCTGACATCGAGGCCAAGCTTGCTGCGCTCGAAGCTGAGGAGGAGAAGCTGGAGGGTGAGGGCTTTTACGATTCCGACGACGACCTTGAAGACGCAGAGGAAGCGGACATCAGGTACAAGGCAGAGCTCATTCGTGAGAAGAGGCAACTCATCCGGAACGAGGCCAAGATGCGCAAGAGTCTCAAGAACAGGGCCGTCATTCCCAGGACCAAGAAGGCTATGCAAATGTCAAAGATGGAGACACATCTGGAGAGTCTCGGCTACGATCCCTCAGCGGCTGTCGAGCGTACGACTGCAAAGGCAGAGGCGCGAGGCCGCAGCTTGGCTCGTGGAAGATCAGAGGCTCCTGGTGGCGATGCTATGGAGGTCGATACGCCTGGTGCTGCTATGCTTGCACGTGCCAAGAGCCGAGGCCGCAGCCAGAGCACCAACAGGAGGAACGATGGTGTTACGAATGAGGTTGCCGCTTCCAAGGCTGAGAGGCTGCAGAAGTTGTCGCAGCAGAAGATGAACAGGATGGCCAGGCAGGGTGAGGCCGATAGGCACCAGACTGGTTCTTTGATCAAGCATTTGGTAAGTTTGCTTCCGAACCATCTACCTTTCAGCACAATTGCTAACAGTTATCTAGACTGCAGGAAAGCGTGGTATCGGAAAGACCAGTCACCGTTAAGCGGGCTGGGGTCTTATGCGTTCTTGCATTGCGTGTTTGCAGGTGGGAAAAATCATGGCTGGCGTTTGGGATGCATTAGATACCAACTCGCTGTTGATGAAGACAGCGTGGTAATGCAATACTTCTTTCCATCACTACCCTATCTCGAGCGAAGTGATCGCGCAATATTTCGTTGAAGCTGGTGATGCCCGGCAGGCTTCCAGGTTCAAGGCTTGACACACGTGAAGCTATTGCCCGGCCTAACACCAACGATCTGCACACCCAAGGCACTGGACATAGACTACACAGCAAGATCACGGCACAAGCCTGCCGCACCCTCGTGGTGGTGAGATCCTGCAGGGCGAAAATAACATGACCCTGCGCTCAGCCTTGTTACGCCCTGCCGAGGCTTTTTGCTTACCGATCCTTCAAAGCGTGGTTTGGAAGGCGCTCTGAAGTTGCGACAACCACCGACCCACGATCACATTTCCACGATGTTTTACGACCGCAAAATGACTCCAGGGA